GGCCACTTTGCACTTCTTCCAAAGTATCAACATCTTTTTTTGTAATGTGGTGACCAAAAATGCATGCATTATTCCAGATGTGGCCTCTGGAACGATCTCCCTGTGGAGATCCAGATCCTCACCACCCTCCAGGCTTTCCGCAAAGCCACGAAGACCTGGTTGTTCCAGCAGGCCTGGGGCTGATGGATTTCCAGCCCCACTTGAAATGTTGTGACTGCTGTTGTTTTTACTTTGTCTTTTGTCTTATTTGTATCCCCTCCCCCCGAAGGGGAGGGGATACAAATAAGACAAAACACAGACAAAGTTGTTTGGTTGTTAGCCGCCCCAAGTCCCTCGGGAGTGGGGCGGCATACAAATTAAATAAACATTCCAAACATTCCAACTTCATACATATGGATAATTGGAAACTAATTCTCATTCTGCCAAATATGTTGATTCCTCAAGGGATCCACGTCCACGTGGGCTCTAATAATAGTTCCCCACTAACATCTATACTTTTCAAACATATCGAGACCTGTTGATGGAAAATTGTCTTGATGACCTTAGACTCGGGCTGCCAAACCCGCGGCCTGCAGGCCAGATGCATCACACATTGGCCACCCTCATGCCCGGTTTAGTGAAGGGAGGAAAGTCATGTGGCACCACGAGTTTGACATCCCTGCCTTAGACATACACAGGAGTGTAGAATTAAGGGCATTCTCGGGAACACGTGGATTTTCACCCAGATAGCAATGAAATCAAACACGTTCCCTCTTCATCCCTAAGGAAAATTCAATCTCCCCAGTTCACAAAAATTGTGTTATTCAATTTCTATTTTGCAGACTACATTCTTGTTCTTTACTTGATAATTTGCATCTAGTTTTAATGGTTCTTCAGGATTCCAGAAAAAGGAAAAGGTCCTATTGTGTAAAATTTGCCCTACACTTCACGTCATCTAGTAAATACATGTTTTGTACAAATTACACACAGAATGCTTGAAAGTCTTACATTCTCTCCAGTGGTGGGTTGCAGACGGTGTGCCCCGGTACAGGCGTACCCAGTGCCCGGAGCACTGGGTACCGTTCCAGTATGGGGCTCCGGAGGGCCCACCCACCTGCCCGTGCTCCTTACCTGTCTTTAAACTCTTTGGTACTTCCGCGCACGGTGCGTACAGCACCTGTGCGACACTCCATCAAGCAGCTGGAGCGTCATGGAGGCGTCGCTGGACGCGCCACCCACATTCATGTGGAGGACGCCGGGCCCCATTGCAACCGTATTGGTTGCAACAGGATATGGAACCCACCACCAATTCTCTCTCAAAGTCAGGGCATTTATAGGCAGATAAATAGACAAATAGTTTTTTGTTGGAATCAGAGGTCAGTAACAATAAGGGCATATAGTTCCTCTTCCTGTACTCTGCTCTTAACTTTGTTCAGCCTTTCTGAAAACAAAAAACATCAATGAAGGGTTTTTTGGAGGGAAGGTTAATCTCCATCCTTTACTGAAAGTGAGCATAATTACATATAACCAAACCAAAACTGTCCAGAACCACTTGGTTGAATTGGGGTACTATAGAAATTGGATAAATAGTTAGCCTATGCTTAAGATCAGAAATGATTTAAATTGTTTAAAGTTAGCTCAGCAAGGAGAAGCTAAGGTCAATGTAGAATG